TTATATGTGTAGTATATCTGTATATAAATAAATAAATATATATATATATAAACTTGTATGTATATAGCGTCCATTGACCACTCAGTAAAACGCCAGTTACTGTCATTACAAAATCTCTATTTAACAACCCACACACACACAAGTGCGTATTTGCTTTAATTGTGTTTGCTTAAATGAAATCGCGTTAAGCACTTGACCTTGAACTAGTTTATTTTCTCGACACCACACTTTATTGACCGCTTTGTAGCTACCGAATGTAGAAAAAAGAAAATGATAAAGTAAATAGATGAAGTGCACAAAAAATAGTTTAAAAAAATATTGCATGCAAGTTACTTGGTATTTCAGAGTGAAAACGCATTTCCATAAAGAAATAATTCGATATTTTGCCAATGCAATTAACACAATTTTTTTATTGTACTGATGGGGTGAACTTTGTGGTGTTTTGAGTGCGTTGACTTTTGACGATTTGATGCGAAAGCGAAAGTAATTTTCTGCAATAAAAAGGCGTCGCTGCCTTCACCTTGACCTAAATCGATAGACTGCGCGTAATTGGTGTAAATATTGCTGCGATTGCGAATTAATATATGCATATTGTACATGTACATACATACGCGTACGTGAAATTTTTCAGAGTTAAATGATAGCTGTATGTTTATCTATTTAGTTCAATTGCGCAAGTGGGCGATTAATAAGGCGAATATGGTGATTGCGGCACGATATGCGATAAACATATCCAGTATGTTTCGGCCCTTAATTCTGGTCACCTTTTCCGAGTACCTTCGGCCAAGCGACGCATAACACTCAAATAGCATTCCTTGCTACCACTATGGTAGATGACTGAAATTCATTGTTTATTTTATTAAAATTAACTTCAAAGTTCAAAAAGTTTTTCCATCTGTTAATCAAAAGTTAAGAGACTAACCTTCGTATTTAATTATTTTATTTCACAAATGTTTACTTCACATTTAAGGCCACATAGGCCTTATAACTTGGTTGATTCTAACAAGTGTTTAATTCTATTTTAAGCATAATAAGGATTCTGACTTAAGTACTCAAGTCCTTGTATGGAAATGATTTTTTTTTTTTGTTTTTTTTTTTATCAGATCGAACTATTATTATCATGTAACTGTCATACGAACTGACCTATACAAATCAAGAAAAATATCTTTTTTTTTACCCTTTTATGCTATAGAAAATGTAACGATGAAGGGTATTATAGCTGCGGTATAGCCGAAGTTGTCTTTTGTTTTGTTTTTAATTAAAAAAAAAAAAAAAAAAATTTTTATTTCTTTTTAAGGGAGTGTGACTTTGATA